TTAGCCTCTGTTTGGCAATATTGCTTTTCTAGACAGTTGCGGGATCCGATCAATACACAAATAGTCTGTGAAAGCCGCCCGGACCCTGCTCTGACCTGTCGCCTATTATTGCAAAAAAAAAAAAGCGTACTGATAACCAGACCAAGGCCAACTTATACTCAAGGCCTGTCAGACAGGACGAAATTCTGGTTTCCAGAAATTCATCACTAGGTGGCGCTTGCAAACCACTATACATTCAACATTTGTAAAGTAGCTCATTAATAACAAAAAGTTTATTTTTTTAAAAAGTATGGCTGTTTGTTAATAGCAATACAGGATAATGTATTGTTGAATGCCATACTGCAAAGTTTTCTTCCTTTTAATAGTTGTATTTAAATAATTATTCACAACATATAACCGATGGGAATGGTATAGAAATGCTGTGCATAATGCATAGCATATCCATCAATTACATGTAATACAGATTTAATACAAATACATAATACAAAACTTCTTAAACAAGAACCAACAACTGGGAGATCCGACCCAGTTTGTGTCCAGAGACCGACGAGTGCTGTCCAGAGAAATTCGGAAGAACCGCACCCAACCGATGGCCCTCATCCGCGAGGAGTTTCAACAGGCGTACGGGAGTATTGCTTCAATGAATACCATCTGTAAGGAAGCACATCTGCTTGGTTTTCATGGTCGTGCTGCTGCCCATAAGCCTTTGATCACAAAGTCTAACCGCGCTACTCGGTTAATGTGGTGCAAAGCACAATGAAATTATACCGTAGATCAGAGGAAACGGGTTCTCTGGAGAGACGAATCAAGGTTCATCCTTTACCATTCGGATGGCAGGGTCTGGGTTTGGCGTCTACCTGGAGAACGTCTCCTGCCAGAATGCATTGTGCCAACAGTCAAGTTCGGCGGAGGTGGAATTATGGTCTGGGGGTGTTTCTCCTGGTATGGGTTGGGAATTCATGGTAAGCTCAACTGCGATGCCTACTGCACTATGTTGGATGACAATGTGCTTCCTACGTTGTGGCAGTTTTACAGGTTGGACCCCTGTTACTTTCAGGACGACAATGCCAGTTGTCATGTTTTGACGTTAACCAAGGCTTGGTATGGTGCCAAAGGAGTTCATCGAATGGACTGGCCTACCCAGAGTCCAGACCTGAACCCTATCGAGAACCTCTGGGACGAGTTGCATCGCCGAATTCAGGGGTGCACTACTCTTGCAAAATCTGTGAAGGAATTTCTATGTCTTCTCCAAGCCGAGTGGAAGAAAATACCACTAGCTGTCATACAAAGACTTGTGGAAAGTATGCCCCGGAGGGTCCACGCTGTAATTACCTCTCGTGGAGGCTCTACCAACTACTGATTTTGAATAAAGTTAGTTTTTCTTTTCTATCACAGGTGTCCAAATACTTATTGGTAGTCAGTGTATACATAGAAATATGTTTGATTTTTTCCTCAATTGTTAACACTTTGAAAAGTGAATTTAAAGAAATTAAAATTTAAGAATGCATCCATGCATATATTTTATAAGAAATGTTAATTGCATTACCTTTTCTATGAAATTAATTGCTTTTTAGCTCTTCTATTTGTTATCTTTAATCCAGGAACATTTGAACACTTTCTGTACCAGCTTCAAAATTTTATAGTGCATAGCTCATTTTAATTAGTGTCATGTATTAGTCAGTATGCTGTACGTAAATTTGTGTTTATGTTGTTGAGTGTTTTACGCTTGTACTTAATGTAATGGAGATTCCTGAGGTATCCATATCTATATGTAATTAATAGAGATAATACATTTTTGTTTTATTATATGCTGTCGATGATATTGATTATCAATCCTTAGGTGTATAATGCGATTATAAGAGTTATTATGTTACTTTTTTTTAAAACATACTTTATATCTCTGTGTATTTTCTTTAAAACAAATTCTGAAACAGCTCTGAATTCCCATCATTTGATGAATTTGGAATACCTCCAAATATTCAAAACAGTTTTCCCCATATGTAACATGGATATGAGCCAATTTCCATTGCAGTATCTCTCTCCTGAGGCAGTCCCAGATCGAGGGCAATCAAGCCAGCGTCCCTGCCCCAGGAGACAACTTCTATAGGAGGAAAATTCAAGTATGGCATTGGATTGCATTTGTAATGTCTAATTCTGTTACAATATTAGCAGTTTTAAGAAGATTTATGATTAAATAATACAGACGCTTTTAAGGGAATAAAGAATTAAAATAAAGTTAAGTACAGACGATTCCAACGATTTTTTTTTAATGGCAGGCACTTGCCATTTCAGGCTTTGGCCACTACTAAGACCAGAAGCGGCGGTCATTTTATTATGGAGCTACCTAATAGGCGACTACTGTTATTGAAATCATTATCCATGCTTTTTCAAGGATTCAAACGCAGGCCCTTTGGTATAGTAGTCAGAAACAATAACCATTTTCCCGTCTGGGGGGCATGATTACTATTGTGAAGATAAGATCAGAGACAGGACAATAGCGGGACTCCAGGCTTCACAGACATGGTCCGACTGACCCTATCAGCAACACCTTAAGTCCCTCTGTTATCCTCTCTTTAGGCAGGGTATAACTCAAATAAATAGAACAACAGCTTCTAAGTGCCTTGTTTTTATAGCAATGCCTCTGTTCTATCAGCGGCCAAATGGTAAAGTCACTGAACACTGTTAATCCAGTTCGAGGTTCGAATCCCGAGATCAGACTGGCTACATGGACATTTTCAGGGTTTCTTCGTTAGATAGCCCTTGCGGCTTTCCCCTAATCATATAAAGTAACCAAACCAACAGCAATACCTCTTAGGAAATGAATAAGCATTATAACTATTTTCTAAGATCATATCCAATAAAAATTAACCTTGTACCATCTTACACCAATGAAATAATTCAAGTTAATGTATGTTGAAGATGTACAACCGACCGTCAACATGCACTGTATTTTCAAGAAATGATGCACTGTATTCAGGTATTTTGCAGCCAATTGGCAATTTAGGCTCGGCTTTTTTCAGAATGGTGGGGCGCGCTTTGGCTTTTTAAAGCTACATTTATTATTATTTTTTAAAGTTTTGAGGTTTCTTTTGTTGTCATTTTTTTGTTTAACTATACCTGCTTTTATTAGTCCCTACTATATGTGGTGAGACACAACCATTTAGTTAGCATGAGTTTCTGTCTGTTTCCCTAGGACTCAGAGTGTATTTACATCAGTTTTTAGTTATTCTTATTAATGCAAGCCAAAATGTATTTTACTTAGGATAAAAGAAAATCATGAGTGCGCTTAGACCACACAAAATCTCAGTAAGGAAATATAAAAAAGAGCAAAAAACAGGGCCGAATAGGGAAAACAAATTGCACCTATGATGAAAAAACGGTTTCACAGAAGAGATGAACCATCAGACCCTTCCACAAGATGAAGAATTTTCATCTAAATAGGTACATCGACCAAAAAAAAAAAAAAAAAAAAAAAAAAAAAGTTACAAGCATCAGCATTTGAAATTTGAAAAGTAATTATTGTGCAAGGAATACTTTTCCCCCAGACTGTAAACAGACAGCACTAGTTCTCTAGCAGTAGTTGTGCAGGTAGGTAGGAAAAGTTTGCACACTCATTCAAAGCAACTGAAATGGCAAGCCATTTAGAAAAGTTGTTTTGCTTGGAGATTTGAGACATTCGTTATCCTGATCTTTTCATTATCCTGATCAAGTATCTGGAACGTGGCCATACTGTTACTGTCGATCGTTATTGTGCCACTTTGACAAGGTTACGTGAAGCCATCCAACACATGTGTTCTGGCGTATTGTGTAATTGTGCCATCCTGTAAGAAATGCTGCAAAGGTTTAAGTGTGGAGTCTGGAGGCACTCCCATCCCATATAGCCCATTCTGATTATTTCTTTTTCTGAAACTAATTTTTGAAATTTGGGCATTTATCTGGAATGAGGTTCTCTTCAGATAGTGATGTGAAAACAAATTACCGAGAACTAGTTGGATGGTCAGGGATATGATTTCTACCAAGCCAGATTAAACAAGTTGGTCCTGTGTTTAGATAAATGACCAAATAGATATAGTAATTATGGAGGACAATGATAGGGAAATATGTCTTTCAATTCCCTTTTGTGTTTTCTATTGTTAACAAATAATTTTTTATTACTCTTATAACCACCTCAAAAACACAAATGGAAGACATGAAGCCAGGATATAAAACAATCTCCTCATTTTATGTGGGGGTGGGTAGCAGAAAGACGAAGACTTAAAATTTTTTGATTTGTCGGACTCAGCAACAATCTAAGCAGTCTAGCTGTATTATTAGCTGGGAAACATCCAGAAAACATAGGTCTTATGAGCACTTAATGTGTTGGTAGCCATGTGACATCTTTTATGTGGTACAGAACATAAGAAAATGATGAAATGATTAAATAACCTTGGCTTAAATATTCTAAAACCAAAAAGCAATTTTTTTACACCCTGCAAGATTTACTAGAAACATACCATTGCCGCTACATCAACACTGTGTACCAGGATTATAGAAATTAATAAGCTGGTTGAATATGTGCCATATTTGGCTCTTTGCTTGTCTCTTATCTGCATGCATTTTGCCTCATCATGCCTGGAAACAGTTAACCTATTTGGAATTATCCAGAAAGTATTTTGCTTTTTTTTTGCCTCATCCACTACTCGATGGGATATTATGAAAAATGTATAAAAAGCAATTTAAGAGGAAGCAGCCAGACAAGATAGTCAGCAAAATATGCGGCTGTAAAAAGCCCTTCTAATGAATTTACTAGAAGTAATAAAATCCTTGAAAGAAATTAAAGACAATGACAGCTGAATAAGACATTTTATTTTTTGTTTGTTTTTTATTTATTTACTTTTAAAATAAAAGATTGATGACTGATATTTTTATAGAAATATCAAACACAAATTGAATAATTAATTTTTTCAATTATTAGAACTACATACTGATAAAATAATAATCTTTTTGTTTTAATATGTAGATATATTTAGAGCAATTAATATATATATATATATTATTTACTTAAAATTACATTATAAATTATTAAATATTACTAATTAAATACAAGGGTTTGAAAACTTTCAGTAGTTTTTGCCAGTTAATAGCATTTTGTCCAGATTTCAATCAGTTATATACAATTTCTGCAATTGGCTGAGCATAAACTATACAATGGTAGTACAATTTTTCTCTATAAAGAACAGTTCATGAGCATTTGAGTAACTTCAATGTTGATTAGAAAAAGAATATTTGATTTACATAGCACATTTATCTTATTCCTTCTTTATCAGCTAAATGCATAAAATATATACGAGTTGATTCATCTGATTAGTAAGGTTCAGAATGCACATATTATATATCTATATAATTGATTTTCATTTATATCAGTGGTTTACAAACAGTATTTTGCAGAACTCTGTGATTCTTTGCAACTGCTCTAGCAGTTTCATTAGTCAAAATCGAAATTTGAAAGAATTTTTTAATACCCAGTGGAACTTGCTGAACATCTAAAATGATTAATTGGACATTTTTCTTTTTAAAATTTTGTTATTGCAACCTAAAATAATATCAAGCAGATCTATTTCAAAGGGTAATATTATAATAGAATAATAGTTTTGTTTCCATTTTGCATATAGAGGGCTTGTCAAAATAATATATATTATAAAAAAATGGCAGTGATTCCACATAAAAAATAAAAGTTTTAAGTCTTTTAAGAGTCAATAAAGTTTGAAGACCACTGATTTATATAAATCTAGCTGCTGAGTTTCATTGTCGATGAACTTCATTGCCCATACTATGTCGCATAACATTCTCTTTTCTGCACAAAACCTATAAAAAGAGAAGAATACTGGTATTCAGGCCACTTAACATAAATAAATCTTAGGGTAAATTAAGTTAAGGAAATTACCTGAAGAGGAGCTGTAACATTATGTGATGTTGGAGGCTGGAAGCGAGCTGTTTGAGGTTGGCTTCTTATAGGGTAACCAGAGGAAATTCCACCTGACTGATATAAATTAAAAAGTAGTATAATTAATTTATAGAAAATAACAATATGTTAATTTATTGACTGATTTAAAAATAATCATAAAACAAAACAAAACAACAGCAAAAAAGAAAAAGAATATATATATATATATATATATATAAAAAGAGAGAGAGAGTGAGAGATACAGTTGATTGTATTTGAAACTAATTGAATACTACAGCAAAAGACCAAAAATCTGCTAATGCCTGAAATCTATGCAGTTTCACAGATGTCAACAATGAAATGCAAATCACTAGCAATTTTTGGCAACATTTGGAGACTACTTGTTTGTATTTTCAATATTGAAGCAAGTTACTATATTCTATTCATTATCACTTTTTTAATTGCTAAAAAACATTTTGTAAAAATTTTTAAACTTATATCCATAATTGAAGGTACATGCTATTTTAATCCAGTAATCAAGTAGAAAGTTCACAAAATTTATAAAAGCACACCAATGATAGCAACCTTACATCATTAAGGTTACAACCCCGTTTTGTTGCAGATACATTTTGTGCAGGATTTTGATGAAGTATTTTTCTAATAACAAACAGTTTGCTGTTTTATTCCTTCAGGAAAAAGCAATTAGCCATGAATATCAAAACTACACAACAAAGTTTTGTTTTAGTGTTAATACAACATTGAAACAGAAATCATGGCTAAATTTTGCAACAACTTTTACATTTGGTGACAACTGCTGCCATGTTAATGGAAAAATACAGCTAAAATTAACTTTTTATTGTGATTAGAATTAAAAATAATATTTTTTCATTGTATCAGAATGACAAGTTGTTCTAGTTTCCCATTTTCTAGTAGATAAAAACTTTTGTATTTTTTATCCTTATTTCCTTTTTATATAAAATTATAATATATTTAACATACATTGCTCCATAAAAAGTCAAAAAGAATTTAAATTGCTTTATGCATTTTTAATGAATGCTTCTATTAATTCTGATCTCTTTTTTTTTACTAAACCTAATGATTAAGCTGAGTGCAGTTTTAGTCTTCTACTGAATTATTTTATAACAGTTCTCATCTCATAACATGCTATCTGAAAATAAATTAATGCACATGTAGTAGATCTATAATGCTTTCATGTCCACTAAATTGTCATTTATAAAACAGAATATTATTATTAGTGGAACATATCATATGATATTTACCTGGATATAGTACTTCTCATCTTGAATACTACTTGGTTTTTGAGGGGCATGCTCAATCTGTTGTGGCATGCTATTAACATAAGCTAAAATATATATATAAAAAAATCAAAATATTAGTTTTCAAATAAATGTTTATTTCCATAATTAGCAAACTCTGATATTTATTTATTTATTTTTTTGACAAAAATTTAAATTAAAATAAATAATTTTAATTTAAGGGAAAATAGTCTCAATATTCTGAGTAAAAGAAATAACATATTTTATTTTAATTACCAAATTCATAAAAATATTTATCAACAGAATAAAAATATCATATATAGAATTTCCAGGAAGTAATTTCTATAAAATTTCCCACGCTAAGTGGTAAATACAATTTTTAATTTGACACTGGTATTGAGTAAAGGGCCTGAAGATGGCAGACACTGAAAGTTTTCTCAAATTAGCATAAAAAAATTCTCTATTTATAACAAAGCTAAATGGACATATTTCAATAAATATCACCATTCTTCTTTATGTAAAATCATTAAACTAAATATCTTTTGCTGTTTATTAATTATAGCTGTAAAATGTAGTTTTACAAATCCCATTTAAAAATACAGCTTCAAGACATAATATCTAATTTGGATCAGATGTATAAATTTATTTCTAATTAAAAAGATTAACATAATAATATATTTTCATGATTTTAAATTTCCTGCATTTCTTAAAAATAGCCAATGAAATTTAACTCAATTTTTAAAAACATTAGCATGAAAGTTTATATCATAAATCAACTTTACGTCTATAAAATTTTAGTACTTGTTAGGTACTGAAAAGAAGAATTAAGATGCAAAATTATTTACACTCTGTCATTTCAAAATCTCATTTAAAGGTATAAGGCTAAATATAGACAAACATTAAGATGTTTAACTCTTATAATTTATCAAGGGTGAAAGAAATCTGGAAATATAAAATTATTCAAGAAATCACTAGAACTTTTGCTAAAATGTTTCTTTATTATATTTTGTGGCCTATTAAAGTCCTTATGCTGCTTTTGTTTTTGCAACTAATCTTGCATATATTATAAAAATGCAGGCACACACTTTCAATTACAAAAATGCTTCAAATAAGGAAAATATTCATGTTATGGTATTTTTAAATTTAAAAAAAAAATCAATTTCATTAAAATTATAAAATCTAATATTTTACATTGCCTACCTATAATTTATACCTAGCAAATTTTTACATTTGTTCCCTTAAAAGCTTTCATGACTAATGTGCCATATTAAAGTGAAACTACACTAAACTGATTAAATATTGGTTGAATCTCAGAAAAAGTTCTACAAATGTCTACAACAATTTACAACAATTCAGATGAAATACAATTTAATAAGAAAAACTGTACTGAAAATCATTACAAACGTTAAATGGAATTGGAACAATTTAAGTTTCCTTAATTCAAACAATTTCATTGATTGCTAGAATATGCTTTTCTTAAAAAAGACTAAAAATTAAAAACTGGAAAATTCGGTGGCATTCACAGGGAAACTATAAGATATGATGGAAAAATGGGAGAGTTGGCAGCTATACAAAACATTTATAACACAACAAACTATTTCTGTTGTTTTAATCTAAAAATTTTTCAGATATTTTAGTTTAATTATATTTATTTCTTTTTGTTTAATTATTTTTCTGCACTTATTTTGATAAACAAATTAATATACCTACTAGTTTTTGCATCATCTGTTAAATCTGCCACTTAGTTAATAACTTCAAAAGTATTCCTTTAAAGAATTTCCTTTATGTAAATAATTTTTTTTTTTTTCACTTTTGAGCTGCTAGATTCAAATATTTTTTTTTAGTTTAAAAAATTTTCATGTATTTAGAATGTGCAAAAGTTATTAATTCTATGTCTTTGATAATTTCAGTTTTGAGAATTCCAGAAAACCTAAATTAAATAATAAACCTAAATTAAATTAAATAATACACATCCAGATATATATGAAAAATGTTTCAGCTTTTCAGTTTTCAATACGAGTTCTCAAAAATAATAGAAAAATTTCATTCAATAGAGAGATACCTGTGACAAGAATACAGTATTTTTTGCAATTTTCTATACTTTTGAATAATGAAAAATCACAAAATAAAATAAATGAAAATAAACATAAGAGAAATGCATCATGAAAAGGCATGCAGTAGAAAATGCATGTCCTTAGTAATATAGCTGCCATTACTTAAATAGCACACACAACTCTGATTGTAAAACTAAGTCCTCTAGTTGAAGCATTTCGTAAAATATTGGAAAACAGTCGACAATCCTAACTACAATCTCATATATCAGGTCAGTCCATAAGTTTGTGCACATTTAAGAGTATGCGTGAAATTCACTATGACACATTTACTAAAACAATACAATTTTGAACCTGTTGAAACTTGTCATCGTTTGAATAACATAGTATTCAGTTCATCACCAACTTTCGTAAATATCGAACGCATTTTAATACCCAAAGAAGATGGTTTGGTTTATTAGATTATGGCAAAGCACTTGAGGGCTATCTGCCTTAAGGGAGGGATGCCTTCGTGGAGGACCTTTTAAGGGAAACTGGCTTGTATACACGTTACACATGGAGAAAACCATGAAAACACCCACGCAGTCAGCCTGTTTGCGGAATTTGAACCTCGGACCGAACTACCAATGTTTAGCGACGTTACCTCTCGATCGCTGGTGTGACACCCAAAGAAGATGAATATAGATAATCAGTACAAACATGCTGTGCTACATTTTTTATTTTTGTGTGGTGAATCTGCCAGGTTTGCAGCGATAAAAATTAACAGTGTACATGGTGAACACACTATTAGTCTAAGGACTGCCCAGAAATGGTTTAAAAAATTTAAAGTTGGAAAAAGCAGCATTTAGGATGAACCCTGTTCAGGATGTTTTGAACTGTTAGAATCAAATCAAACGATTAATTCAGAAGTTTATAGTGAACAGGTTTGGGGTCTAAACTCAGAATTGATCAAAAAATGTGCACGATTGGTGAATATCAAGAAAGTGTTGTTTCATCATAACGCTAGACCGCCCGAACAACGCTGTAAAAAAAAATGAGTAAATTTAATTGGGAGCTTTTACCACATCCTGCTTACTCCCCAGATATTGTCCCAAGTGATTTCACTTATTTTCGTATCTTACAAAATTTTTTACTGGGAAAAAAAAATTAAATTCTAAACAAAATGTACACAATGAACTTTCAAGTTTTTTTTGCATCAAAACCAGAGTCTTTCTACAGCAATGGCATGAAAAAGGCTGCCTGTAAGATGGTGAGACATTGTAGATAATGGTGGAAAATATATAACTGATTAAAATGTTAAATTGTGTTTTTTTTATATTATTTAAAAATTTACCAAAAAAAAAAAAAAATTGCACACGAATTTATGGACTGATCCAATAATATGCCTGTTATAAGAAGAGCATTATGTAGGACTGCCACTTTCGCACAGCTTATTAACAAGAAGTTATGGGACATCATTTTAAATAATGAAGGTAATAATAATAATAATAATAAAGTACCACAGAAAATTTTAATAAAAATTCATCACAATATTACTGTAAAATGTCTATTCTGTAATAGTAAAATTAATACATACCTTATATTCTGGCATACAACACACACTTACAATTTCAAACTTTATCTTTTAATTTTTAGGTATATTCACTGTATAACGGCCACCTTGTTCATTTGTTAGAAGACTTTTCTTAGGCTTTTGAACAATGGTACAATGAATTAAGAAGGGATAAGGGGAACAATATGTATGTGGAGGAAGTGCTTGAGAAAGTAAATTATTCTTTAAAGAGGGAAGGTTGTAGTCAATGCAGATGTGCACAAGAATATTATTCTAGGGTGTCAAGAAAAGGGAGTACATAATTTTGAATAAGAATGTACTTCCGAGCCAACTGATTCATGGAATTAAGAGTCAGATGCTTTCTCTTTCTGCAATCATTTGAAGCCGTGATTTTGAAGTGAACAGCAAACGGTTTACTAAATCACATTTGCTTTAGTTGAAATACAGTTGATCTAGTTTTTCTTTTAATAGTAAATATAATGCTTGTAAATGAAACAAACACAGTGCTGGTTCCAAATGCAAAGTCATTCAATTTGTGAAAGAAAATGGAAATCTTGCTGTAACAAGGATGTTCGGTGATGGTGAAAGCTCCATACTTGAGTAGAAGAAAAATGAAGTAGCAATAATTAACATGCCAAAGAATAAATATGCTCTGCATAGAGAAGTCATGAAATATCCTATCCTAGAAGAAAATGTTGCAAACTAAGTCCTAGAAAATTGCTGGAATGGATTAACAGTTTTTGTTTATTTGCCTTAAAGCAGGCAAAAAAGAAAGCAAATGAAAATGAAAACTTTAAAGCAACTATGAGTTGGCATAGTTGATTTATGGCATAGAATAATTTAGTTCTATGAAGGGGGAAAAAAAAAAAAAAACGATTTGCACAGGCTTCTGAAAGATTTGGACAAAATATTAATAAGTTTCCAGAACTATGTTAGTGACATATCAAGGGAAAAAGTTATTTATTATCACATACTGGAAACATAAATGAAACTCTAATGTTTGATATGATAAGAAATAAAACAATTGATGCAAAAGGAACAAAAGCGATTTATATAAAACAACACGCTATGAAAAATATCATTTCATTATAGTGCTTTCCTGCTTAATGGATGGTACAAAATTAAAATCCATGATTATTTTTTAAAGAAAGATAATGCCAAAATCTTATTGCCCAAATGATCTTTTTATTAATTTTTATGAGAAAGGATGAATAAATGAATCCTTTTTATCTCCGGCGGGCATGGAACTGTGCATTGGAAATTCTAAAGATATGCTCATTTTAAAATTATTTTGTGACATTGCTACTGAACTGGATTTTATTATTTAAATGCAAAGAACATGATATTTAAAAAATAAAGGTAACACACAAAACGTTAAAAAAACGCTCCTTTAGATGTAATTTAAAATCTGAAACCTTTCAGTTTTTTTTTGGGGGGGGGCTTGTTAACATATTTTTAGCATTTAAAAACTTATAAACTACTTGTGGGGCTTTCAGCTCACGAAATATAACAAATTACAAATTGCAGGATGTGATACACTATTAAATTACAAAGGAATATCACTAATTTAATATATGATATTAAAGGGAAGAAAAAATCAATGACTTATTCTATTTAATTTTTACTAAACTCTCATGAAAAAACACCCCCCCCCCCAAATTAAATCAGTCAATTTTTGTCAAGCAGCAGTCAAACATTTTCAGCCTTATCTTTCTAAAATGAATATAAAGTTTTACTAAATGTAACTATAAGAACAGGGAGATTATACAAAAATTCATTTTCAGAGTTCTTAATTAATTTTTTTTAATTTAAAAATGCCAAAACCTGAATATTCAGATCATTTAAAACTCTTTGCTATCAGAATTATAAGCCTATGACAAAGAGTTACATAAAAAAAGGTGGGGTAAAAACATTATATAACCCAAAGAAGGCAAAAAAAAAATTAAATCTGTATTTCTAACAAAAGTTTCACAATAAAAAATACTTAACACAGTGAAACTTTAATCACATTAATGAAGTACACATTAATGTGATTAAAGCTATTTATTACTCATCTAGAAGTTCAAAAAATTATTTATTAAAGCCATGCAATTATGCACAAACGGAAGTTTTAAAAAACAGAGATGTGCTCTCTCAATTGACAAATAATTTTAAAAAAATTTAATTATTCACTTCATATTCACTAAAAATCTACATTAAAAATTTTTCACATTTGCATATAACAATGAAGAATTGACATAAGTCAAATGAAGTACCCTTGAAATTGACACTTACTTCTTATATCTTCCATTTTTAATCGCTTTGCTAAGTCTGCAAATAACAGGAAAATATGCAATAATTCAATATATAAAATTTCTTAAAAAGTGACCGTCTTTGTGACAAAATCATTATGATATTGTTATTTAAATATTTTTGCCAATCAATACCTTTAGACACATTTTACAATAAACCTAATTTCAAGAGTGTTATGACAGCTAAAGAAATCTGCAGACGCATTATAAAGGATACTAACAATAATTATAGTTAATAATAACATAATTAAAATAGATTAAAATTAAAAATTAAAATTAAAAATGCCATCTAACTTAACTAATAGAGTATAGGTATGTATATATTTTGATAATTTAATAGAGTATTTAATGTAATCTAATACATTGCCATAATAGGTTTTATAATTATTTTTATTATTAATCTTCTTTTAATAGAGTCAATTACACTCTAATTTATTACAGAGATTTAAAATTACATAAGAATTGATTTAAATTAATAACATAAAAATAGTAATAGCAATGAAATATATTTATAATAAAAAATCAACTCACAATCCACAATTTTATAATTCTAATATGAAGCTCCTCCCCCCCCAAATGAAAACAAGATATTTTAGATAAGCTGCATGAAATCAAAATTAGATTATGCCATATATTCAATTGCAGTAATACTGCAGCCATATATTCAAATGAATTATGCCATATACTCAATTGCAGTAAATACAGAAAAGAACTAAATTCCTATATATTCCCATCCTTTTAAATTAATCTAAATATTCTGATCTAGTTAATTTCTAAATATTATGATTTAAGCATGTTTATGAAAATTCCTTACTTTTACTTACTGAAATTTATTTTATAGAGCTCTATTTATGATCAAGTATAAAATCAACAAAGAGTTCTATGTACCATGATCAAATATAAATTCAACATATATTTTGACTGAAAAATATATGAATACTCATATAATAGTTCAAAATCAAAATGCTAATTTAGCACATTTAAAAAAAAGAAAAGAATGATACAATTATTACATCTACAAGTACCATCCACAGATTCTTATCATTACTGCAGCATTAATTCAATGCATTTCCCAAACGTGGGAAAAAATACTGTAATCATTACAGCTATAGCAATCAAGCATTCTTATTTAAAGTTTGTTTGATGGACATCAATGTTTATATTCCATATTAAAACACAGCTAAGCAATATATATATATGAAAATGTACATTTAGTGGGAAAGAATAGGACACTTCTATATCTCCCATTCTACTGGGCTGATTAACGAAATTCAACTTGCATTCTTCATGTGTTGAAAGCATGACTAGGTATATATATATTTAAGCACAGCACTTTTTTTATGCACAGCATTGTTTTAACATAGGTATTCTGAAACAAAATTGGACTTTTTCTGAAATAATATACTGATTTTTCCCCCATATTTCGATCCTAATTCGAATTATGGCAAAGAGCCAAGTTTTGTAAAAATTGCAGGAGTGATTTGTAAAAAATTAGGTCTCAAAATTTTAGCTTCTTAATATTAGTAATTCAATTTGGTATATATTTATTAATATCCTTTTTTTTTAATTATACTTACTTGATTCCTTCTTTCAGAACTTCAAATTTAAGCTCAATACAAATAACATTTGCACATTTTTAATGATTTATTTTTAAATGTTTATAATTTTTTGAAAAAATTTTGAATTACGACCTATAAAAGTTCTATCATCATCTTAAAATAAAATAACCTTAAAATAGATGCCTTTATAGGCATACCTGCATTTCCCGGGATATTGGCAAGTTTTGAAATTTGGCATATTTGTTATAAGCAATAATAATGCCAAATATGGTTTATGCATTTTGTCATAAACTTTAGTAAATTGCAACAATTACTTCAAATCAAAAATTTCCAATAGTAAATTGCAACAATTACTTTAAATCAAAAATTTCCAAAGAAACCTCTACTGAGAGATTATTCATGGAGAATTTCTTTATTTTCATTTGTATTGATAATACCTAATTAACGTTTATTAATAATACACAAAAAGCTATTTTTTTAAATTTATAAAAAATGTTAATCAAAAGTTTGAAGTTTTTTTTTTTTTCCCCTTTCATAAGAATAAACTTTTACTTTCACTATTTCATCATCTTCTACTTTACTTAATTTCATTTTATAAGTAACAAAATTTATTTTGCTGATTTCAAAATTGTGCATCATATACGCATTCAATACTTCTGAGTTTTTTAAAAAAGGTCAAAAATATAAATAAAACATGCCGTTTTCTACTCTGTTGAACACCCATTAACACCTGAAATTTTGCGATGTCAAGAATTCCTGAGAACTCTCACTTTAAAGAGGAAACAAATCATTCTCCAGTGGGTGCCTGGCTTCCAGCTTTCTACAACATTCTAATAAAACCATTTCTTATTAAAGGATTAAACTGTTTTTAAAACGCTTATTTTCATCTAATATCTTATGAGATCTTCAGACTCGCACAGCATTAAAAAGTTGGAGAATGATAAGTCCGTCTCTTACTCCCGATAGTCAAGACACAATGCAGTTGCGGCTTTCCATCTGCCTAGAGTACATGATTGCCTTTCTGCCCACCCGCACTGCATAGGCATTTCAAGCGATCCTATTTGCCCAATTTGTAATTCTGGAGAAGAAATGGACATGGACTATCTGATTCGATGTGAGGCTTTTTGTGGTCTTACAGAAGAGTCGAGATACTGGGAGGTAAGAGCGCTCCTTAGGCAATGACTTTAATCTTTTTGTTCTTAGTTCTATTGTTTGTAAGATTTTAGTTCTTAGTAACTTTTTGCCTAGCCATTAGAAATAATAATAAAAATTTTGAAAATATGTTATGTCCAAAGATATTTCATGGCCTTTACTGCATAGTAAATTTCTTAAACAAACTGTTGTTTACATTTGAAAAGCCCCTAATTGTCATCAAAGACCCTTTTCTTTTCAAAGCCAAACATATTTTTATTTTAACGCAGGACTTGGAATTTTAAAAATCAGACTGTGATTTGTCAAGACCTGAACTCTAATCATTAGTAATATGAGAAATGAGGATTATTGTTACATTTATTTTCACATTATTATTTTTGTTACATTAAAATTTATTAAAATTCTTCCTGTAAAAAAATTTAAAAGGTTCTCCTTCTCTGTAAACATATTTGTTAATTTTATATAAAAATTTTAACATTTAAAATTGTACTCTTTCTGTCAGCTCTGCCAAAAAAATGCAAATTAAGTCATTGGCATTTAAACTATTGGCACTGTATCTATAATTTTTCTACCAATTATATAATAACACTAAGCAAGTTTTCTTAGTTTAGAAATCTGCAATTAGAAATCGCTCATAAATTAAGTTAGTTGGTTATTTAAATATGATAATATGCCTAAGAAGAGGAATGGCTTCATGAAGAACTTTTCAAAGGAAAAGTGGCTTGCATTCACATCGCAGATGGAGAAAATTAGGAAAACCATGCAGCCAGCTTGTTTGCCACGGTTGGTTTCCGGGACGAACTATCAAGAATCTTAATCACTCAACCACTAATGGGACCACTTAAATTAATGATTTTTAAAGTATATAATGTTAATTAATCAGTTATTATGACAAGTCTTTAACATAACTTCTCCTTGTTCATGTATTCAATACCAGAATGCAAATTAATCTTTTGTGTGCATTTAAGCTGAGTATTTGAAATATTGCAGTTTTAAATGTTTTTTGAATAGCTGACTTGAATAGCCGAGAATTAAGCATATGCTTTTAATCTTATATTATTCATACAGAAACCATTGTACTGCATGATAATCCAGCTTCCCACCAATTAATAAGGACTTTGTAGAACTGCTCTGTCCTAAAAATGAGAATGTGCACTTAGTCATCTCACATGTTCTCTAGATTCATCTCCTTGCGATTATTTTTGCTTCACGAAACTCAAATGTCCTTTCAAAGGAAAGTTTTTTTTTTTTTTTTTTTTTTTTTTTTCTTGTTATGGAAGAGATAAAAGGAATCTGACATTCTACTTTTCATTCATCTGTGCCAAAAAGAGACTTCTATAAGCCTTCCCTTTAAATATCAGTCGTATTTCTCTTAAGAGAGGAAGTTGCTTCAATGTAAGCTCTGCAATGCTTCTTTTTTTTTTTAATACATTCTGATTAGTTAATTGCCATACTGTGAATATAAACTAAAACTTTGATTACTTGAATTTCAGTTAGATGGAATGATTTTCAGAATTAGAAATTTGAAGTGAACATCAAAACATACAATTCAAAATTGATACTGATTTAAAGTCAAATTTACACTTGTTTTTTAAGAGGTGTGTTTCTTCAATTTTGGCTCTTTGAACTTGACTATAATTGGATTAACACACTGACTGCCAGTCACTAGAGTTAGATTGATAGTTATTGCCACCCATATGGAAGTAAATTTTATCCAGTTGCCAACACTGTTCCTGATTCTGATCCAGTTTCTGTTCTTTCTGATTGTCCTAGTGCAACGAGATTTCCTATCAGGTGGACATTTTGACAGTTCATAGTTGTTATAATAATTGTCCATAAATATGCTATGTCCTACATCCAGCATTCCCTCGAGTAAATTCATAACGACTTTTTTTGCATGTTCTTTTCCGCCAGAATCATCCAACATGCCTGTATATATCATAAATTTCAGAACCATACCATCAGGGGTTGTGATCATGTATAACTTGATACCATATTTGTGATGTTTATTTGGTATATACTGTCTGAATATAAGCCGTCCATGCCACAATACCATCGATTCATCTAAACTAATCTCACGCCCTGGGTAATATATTTCAGATACTCGCGCATTGAACAAATTCACCATATCTCTTACTTTATACAGTCGATCCTTTGGAAGCCCTGTATTCTGATCTGGGATTTTTGCGAAGTGCAATACCCTCAGTAACAACAAAAACCGATTCCTGCTCATATTTTCTGAAAATACATGTAAGCCAAACAGTGAATCTGTTTTCCAGTAACCCAAAATACCAAGAGTTCCTCTTTTTGTGGCACTCTTTCAAGCATTGATGCGAGAATGTTACTTTTTTTCCTTGCAAAAAAGTACTTCAGGAGCATAATCATTAGTTGCAGCAACTATTTCTTCCAAGATACCAACAGTGAAAAAATGATGAAAGAAATCTATAGGAATGTAACATGAAACAGGTTGGAACAAACACTCGGATTTTATGAAAGGAAATTTTTTTCATTGATGTTGAATCGTTTTCCCAAATAATGTGTTCCACCATAGTTGAATCATCCTGCTGACATGCAGCCTCTTGCATGATTCCTTCTTCATCATCATCAGAATCAGAAATATCATGGGTACCAGTTGGAGGAATGAATTCTTCGTAACTGTCATAACTAAAATCGCTCGGGTACTCATCCGATAGCTCAGCCAACAAATTTGCTATTTCATCACTATTTTATATTGAACTTTTCTTTTTTTTGGGCGCGAAGGCCCTGCACTATCATCTCTATAACTCATACTAAAAGATTATTTTTTCAATAAAAAATAAAACAATAATTTCAAAACCGCGATTATTTATACGTAGTTTCTAATTTTCACTCCATGCCAATACCAGAAGAAATGCCCTGCATGCAATGCCAAGTGAACTGGAGAACGAATAACAAGTATAGGATTTTCCCGTGCCAGCGCGTGACTGGATGCTGAGACATCACCCCACATCACGCACTGGCACATGATTGGCTCCTTGCTGATAACAAAACATCACACGCTGTAGCGTGATTGGCAGTCAATGTGTTAATTATTCACTTATAAAAGCAAAAATCTTATGCCAGATATGCCTATATCATAGTGTGTAGTTTCATAATAAGCACTTAACAAACTAAGTTTAAGAGTTTGATGTCTTTGATTGCATCCCATCGTTTAGTAAATATCTATACAATATAAATTTTACATTAACTCTTTTACAAAGAATGTTTCAAATAGCTATGCTTTTTTCTCCAATATCATTACATATAATATAAAAACATATGCTGTTTAATATGTCATTTACTAGTCTTCCATATTATTAAAATTATGATTTAGAATACTTGGACCCAATATTAACATCAGATCATTATGTAGGACAGGATAAATGTTGTATTCTGTTGACCAAAATAGTTTGGAAAATGCTTCATTCTTCCTATTATTTGAAAAGCACATTTTAAATCTCTACCGTCATCCAGGTTTTACTTTAGGCTTAATTTGCTGTTAACATGTCTAGAAAATGAAAAGCAATCTCTCTAAAAGGTATAACTAAATGACATGAAACTAAAATTTTAAAAGAATCTGATAAGAATATAAAATTTATGGAACTTATAACTGTAAAAAAAACTGAATAACATGTCTAGAAAATGAATTAACATGTCTAGAAAATGAAAAGCAATCTCTCTAAAAGGTATAACTAAATGACATGAAACTAAAATTTTAAAAGAATCTGATAAGAATATAAAATTTATGGAACTTATAACTGTAAAAAAACTGAACATTCTTGTGTCAACATTGGAAAAACCATTGTTTCTGAAAGAAGGAAATTAGAAAAACAGAACATCAGTTTATAGAAAACTATTTTACAGAAACTTCATGTTCAAGTCATATTTTGCTGAGATTTTTCACTCAGTGCATCAGATATTCCAGATGATGCCTATACCAGAAAAAAAAAAAAAAAAAAAAAGACAGAAGAATTAACATTGTGAAGGGCAACTGTTTTTTTTCATTGAAGGGCTGCATAAATTTAAATTATGCACTAAATGTCATATCATATCATAAATGTTTTGCTCTGGTTTATTTGATTATGACAAAGCACTCAAGGGCTATTTGCCTAAGGAAATGGATGCCTTTCTGGAGAACTTTCTATAGAAAAATGGCTCATGTATGTTACACATGGGAAAAACTATGAAAATGCCCAAGCAGCTAGCCCATTTGCCAGAATTCGAACTCCAAACCAAACTATCTGTGTCCAGCAACTGCTCGACTGCTGGTGAACCCATTTTATATAAATGGAGAATTCAAAGATGTTTTTGCCAAATTTATTGAAGATTCATGAAGTTATCCAAAAAGTGTATGGATATCAGTTTAAAGCATTAGCATTGTTGAAAAACTAATCTTAAATTTCATCTTATGACTTTAGATGAAATTCATCTTTAGAAGCTGGGCAACAAAATCGCTTCACAAATCTCTTTCAAAAGTGAGTATGGTACATAGAGAATAAAAAAAGGAGGATGACTGCTGATATATCTGCAGAATGCCTCAAGAAAATCATTAAGGCATTAAGAAAAAGTATTTATTTTTATTTATTTATTTCTATAAAATTTAATCTTTTTTTATGTTACACTGTTTGATTTTTGCAATTTAAAAAGTGAAATAGTTGAACTTATTTAAAAACAGGGATAATATTTTAACAATCTAAATGCAGGATGACAAAGGGTACTTCCTTATTGTAGTGGCCTCCAGCACTGAATTACTAATCAACTGACACATTTAGTCACATGTTCTTAAACCGCGCTACAGGTTACATCTCGATTAATTAGCGATTACATTTTGGGGGGCGACTATAATAAGAAAGTATCCACAATTATGTAAAGCAATGGCACTGTAAAAATTTATTTGAATGCATATCATTCTGAATTAAAATGTAGATAATAGAACTTTCTTATTATCTTTTCTGAACAGCCCATTGAAAAGCCTATAAACTAGGCTTGATGGTATTTTCTCTTTTCATGCTGAATGCAGTTTTCAAAGATATCATGACAAATACTAGGTGACAAAGTATTCTTTTCAAAGAAATGCTATTCAAACAAATAAAATCAATTTATATAAAAAATTACATGAATAAGCATGTTTAAAGTATACAATGCAAATGAACAAATAGGAATTTTTAAAATAACTATTTAAAGACTTGTAATTCAACAACATAACTAAAATAATTAAAATGAAATCCTTAAAAAAAATCTAAAAATAACAACTATGATTAGAAAACATAATATGAAGTAAAAATATATGCAAGAAAGAAAAAAAAAATTTTTTTTTGCTTGTGGAGAATGAAAGGGAAAGTAAAAGAGTTTGCCGCAATTGCCAGGTAAATTATTCTTGCCACAAAGTAAAAATAGTGCAAGGTAGATTTCTGAATTATTGATTCAGCTTCTTATCAAATTTAATAAAATTTGGTTCTTAGGCATAATTTTAATTGCAGAACTAGAGCAGAGGAAAAATTTGGCCTGTCATTTCAGAAAAAGTCTGATTTTGCATCAAAATATGTATGTTAGAACAATGCTATATATAAATCTTATATATATATATATTTCAAGTTGCACTTTCAAAAAATGAAAAACACAAGTTAAATTTTGTCAATCAGCTGAATATAATAGAAGATACAGAACTGACACCTCCTTTTTTTTGACTGAGTGTACTCATTATGAAAAAATTTTCTGATACTGAATTTCCAAATTACCTGAACAAAATTTGCTCATTACAAAACATAAAAGAGACCAACAAATATATAGCTGTGGAAGAATTTTTGAATGGCTACAGTTCAATACTGATCACTGTTGTTATTAATGCTAACTGGATGCATCTGATATCTATCTTTAAATTACATGAAAAAAAAAAAAAAAAAAAAAAACTGCATTTAAAACATGTACTTATATATTATCACACCCACCTCTAATTTCAAAATGTGCCAACCAATTTTTCACACAACAATGCACATGGCAGGTTTTTCAGTTTTAGCAATCAACATGACCATTTTTGCATGCTTTTATTTATTTATTTATTTACTTTGCTTTATTCCATGTTCCAGCAGTTTCTATGAATAAATAGTGATTCTTCTTCTTCTTCTTTTTTTTCCCCTTAAATTCAGTTTTAAAATATATGCTCGTGGGATTCAGCCACAGTAGGTAAATTTTTGGCAAAATGCTTGTAGGATTACAGTATTTTGCCACAAAATACTAAATAAGCAATGTTTTGAGTTTCTTTCCAAAGCGATTGCCAAAAAATTTCCACCAGAAGAAAAGAAACAAGAATCCACTTAAAAGGACATTTATTGATTACTTTGGAGATAAATACCTATTTAAAATAAGAAAAATATGTATATATGTAATAAATGTGTACAACAATAAGTCATTATGCTTTTTCTTATGTAAAATTTGTTGGCTAAAATGAAGTATTGGGTGCATGCCAAGTTTGATTTCATTGTTAGATAATAATTTTAATTCAGTAATCTTACTTTTCTGGTAAGCAGTGATTTTACTTCGGAAACCTTATTTTTTTTTGATAACTTGAATCAATGGAACTGTGGGATATAAATAACGTGTTAGCTATTTTTGAATGCTATTTATCATTATTAAAACTATTTAAAAAATATATTTGGAATAAAACAGGAAAATGTCTCGTTACCCCAGTACATCAGAATGGGTTTAACTGCAAATTAAGTTGAAAATTCTGAGTGAAATAATGACATATGTTGGATAGAAAGTTGGCCCACAATACAAAGGTTTACACACTGCCAAGATTAGGCAATTTTCTGATGCTATTTTAAGTGAAAACAGATCATTGTGTAGATGGGTAAAAGAACAGCATAAAAAAATATAGAAAGATTTTGCAAAAGAATTAAAAAGTTTCATATTTTTAATGTATCATAGTATAATATTCATTTAATAATCAAAATTTGTATTTTAAATTGCTAAATACATTGATAAAGCTTGATAAGTGTTTTCTTTTGTACATTGATAAAGTCTGGAAGCTTACAATAAATAAATATTTTGGCAATTTGAAAAAAAAAAAAAAAAAAAAAAAAAAGGGCACTATCAACAACTTGCACCGAATAAGTAACTTTCACCAGTTCCCCAAACAAAACAGTGCAAAGGTGGCTGTGTTATTACATAAGTACATAAAACCTTTAAACAAAAGATTGATGAATACAAACCTTGTTGCTGCATGTGAGGGACATGGTAACCAGCTGCAAGATGCTTTGCTTGTTCCTGAGATGTATATTGTCCAGTAGGGTGTGGCATTGGATATGCTACCAAAAGAAACATGAGGAGAAATTATTTTATATGCATATTAAGATATACAGACATAATACATTAAATTCCCTTGAGACTACTTGAGATACAAAGTACATTAATTTGCCAGAATAATTAGATAAACAAACAAATGAAGATGCTTTTCAGTTAACAGGGCACCACTTGTAGCTAATGCAAGTCCTCTGTTTGCACCAAATGCAAGTCCTCTGTTTCTATCACCAAGTTTAATAATTTTTCTTTTGCCATTTCCTGTTGCTCTTTTGTTGAAGTGGTAAAAAAAAGTTAATATAGATTACATGATTTAGCAACTGCCAAACAACAAGAAGTTGTAATTAAATTCTTTCAAGACAAAGGTATCATTCATTCTAAAAGACTATATGGAAAAAAAAAATGAAATTATACATTATTATATAAATCGCTGTTCATTTCAGTGCTATTGCCACAGCACTGAAATGAACAGTGAAAGATCATGTTGCAAGAAAAAAGATTCACAAAATGGATGTTAGTGTGAAAATTCATGCATTCTCTTTTGATTGCCATTTGGTTTATTTACAGCTTGTATCAAGTGCTTATGTTAGTAAAACTCTTTCAGCTAGGGATGAAATACTGTCAACTGGCAAAATTACATAAGTTCTTATTTATGAATTTCTGCATTTGTCCCTTTTTTTGTATTTTATATTTAATAAAATGGTCATTTTTTCATGAAGCTGTAGGTACTGTTAGGTTTCGTATTCCTTTCTCTAATTAGATTTTGCATTCCCATTTACATTTCATGTCAAGTGGTGCCATTAACTGAAAAAGACCAAAAAAGTAATAAATATCAGACAAATACTGCAGTTAGCTCTTAATTACATTATAATTTAAAAGTGAAAAAATATTTTTAATAGAAGTATAATAAATAGAATAAAGACTATTTAACTTCAGAGGCAAACTTAAAAGACAGACTTTTTTTAAGAATTACATTATAAATATACTATATTCATAGTATCATTTTGACACCAGGTTAAGTCAGATTAATGTGACCATCTCCTACATTTGACAAAAAATCTAAATAACCAACCACATAGCATGTCAGCAGATTTAATGAGTATGTAAAGAGGGTTATAGGGAAACATTTTAGATACTGCTGTCATGAATGAGCTTATAGAAAAGAATGATTATTGATTTTCAGGCCATGGGTAACAGCATTTCAGAAAGTGCACAGCCCCAAACAAACCACACAACTGTCCCCAATGACAGTTCAGTAAACTTTGCAGTGTATGATGCTCTACAGCTGGCGTATGGTGACATTACCTATAGTTTTTAGTGTAAAGGGCTGGAATTCACGTGGCAGTAATAATTGCTGACCTCTGCTGAATGGCACAAAGTTATTTTCTCTGATGAATCCCATTTCTTGCTTTGTTGAATAAATAAACAACTGGCTCATGTGGTAAGAAACATCAGATAACAAACACACCTCATCATTTGTGGGCATATGTAATCTGGTGAAAGTCATGTTTTCATGGCATTATCTGAGTCAACTCAAAATCGTGGATAGCACTATTGATTGCATTAAGTATTCACTTTGCACACCATGTACACTGATACATGAAGTTTTTTTTTTTTTCCCTTGGAAATGATGGCATCTTCTAGCATGATAATGTGAAATGTCACCCAACTAGGAATGTACACAATTGGCTGGAAGAGCATGAAGAAGACTTTTTTGAAATATCCTGACTCACTAATTCACAATAAAGAATCTATGGGATCAACTTGATCAGGTTGTTCACATTATGCATCAATTACCATGCACCTTTTCATCAAATATCAACTGCACTGCAGTCAGTACAATTCCATATTCCTGTGAACACTTTTCTTGAGTCCTTCCCAATATGTCTCTGCTGTTCATGTTGCACACACATGGTGGTTATTTTAGAAATTAACTAGTGGTAACATTGATGTGACTCAACCATGCATATAAAATGTGTTACAGTAAAATTCCATAAATCCACAAAGCTTGGGACCAAAGGTTGTGTGAATTTTAGGATTTTGCGAATTTCAGAACAGAAACGATAAATCATAATATTCAGACTAAAAGTGCAAAATAAATAAGGCATATTAGATACATTTAATTAAATTATTATACACTATTACAATAATTTATTATGTACATTAATTATTACATAGATAAATCGATTATATTATATGTATTAGTATTCACTTACATTAATGCTTACAGGAATATTTAAAAGCATTAGGGATGTATTCAATAGACATAAAAATAAGGGATATTAATAAAGCATAAAATATTTAATTTTTTCTTAATGTTTCAAACATTTTCCTGATGGAGGTTTGTTTTAAAACATTAGGGTGCTCTATAAGTATATGTAAGTTTATGTAAGTTTTTATATGTTTTAGTTTACTATATGTAAGTTTTTTTTTTTTTTTTGTAAATTATATAGTCATAATCTCTTGCTCTGTGACACAGCTTTGTTGTTCTAAAAATTTTAGGTTTTTTTCATTAAGTTCCAAACCCTCATTAAAAGATATTTTCTCACTTCTATCAAACTCACTATCTGTGTCGGTGCCAGAATTGTCTTCTTGCTGTGGCGAGTTCAAAACAGAGCCAATGATTTCATCATTAGTCATCTGATATGCCAGCGTTGGCTCATCTGAACATATCCATTCAACAATATCTTCTTGCAAAGCCTCCTCATTTATTTTTTTTTTTTTTTTTTGAAAATAAAAGCAATTCTCTTGCTTTAATCCTTGCTGCACTGACCCAAAACCAGAAAAATCACTGTCATCACTCGCAGTTTTAATAAACAGAGAAGATGGCCACACATTATGCCAGGCATTTACTAATGTCGTTTGGGAAACAGAATTCCATGATTCAGTTAACAAATAAATGCAGTCTTTGATGGTGAATTTTTTTTTATAATCACAAAGTGGAATAGAAGGGTCATCAATTTTTTTCAGAAACTCTGATTTATAGTGGCATTTAATACTGTGTATTATGCCCTAGTCCATTTGTTGGATCAATGATGTAGTATTTGGGGGCAAAAAAAAGGGCCATGACATTATCTTTTTACTACTCGTGTAAATCACAGGTAAGGATTTTACTCCTTTCAGAGCTCTGGGATTAGTGCTTTTACCCACTACCGCTGGTTTACATTTGTAAGTTCCTGTTGCATTGCTGCATATTAAAATGGTAACTCCTTTTTTAGCATCTTTCACCCCTGATGGTGCACTTTCTTCGCTTGTCACAAATGTCTTTCTTGGCGAACATCACCAAAAAAGTCCAGTCTCGTCCATATTAAAAACCTGTTCTGGGCTAAGATTTTCTTCTGCCAACAACACAGAAAACTCATCAATAAACTCCTCTGCAGCATCTTTATTTGCTGAAAGTTTTCCCCCACATGCTTTCAGATAACGTATACCGTGTCTCTGTTTAAATCTGTTCAGCCAATCGCTACTGAAATTGCATGGCTCCTCTATTTTTAAATCAGCATGAATCTACTTCGCCTTTTCTCTCAAGAACAATCCTGAAATTGGTACTCCATCACTGCGCCGCTGCCGGAACCACTTATACAAGACAGTGTCGAGGTTTGCCGATTTCGCCTCATGCAAAGATTTCCTCTTTCGGATTCCGGTGTTAGAATCACTGTTGCTGTAAAATTTCAACAGTTTTTCTTTACTTTTTTTGTATATCATACACAGTCCGGGTCACTATTCCATATGATTCTGTTATAAAGCGAGGAGTCCTAGCAACCTGTGTCCCTCTTTTGCTATAACCTGTCTCCCTCTTTTGCAGAATTTCCACTTTTTGCATTACTGTCAATGCAATGTGTTTACGTTTTTCAACATTGTAAAATCATGAGTGCATTTCTTATCTGTCATTGTATTAAAAAGTGCTGAAATTTAAAATAATCTCAATTGATCCACAATATATCCAAAAAAAAAAAAAAAAAAAAAAAAAAAACAGAAGCACTAAACAATCTTGTGAAATAACAAAGATCAGAAAATACAACAACGTGAATCATAAACTTGAAAGAAGAGTTGAGTGAATCGTCTGCTTTTTTACCTCGATGCAGATTGCAGGGGAAAAACACTTTTATTTTATCATAATGTCAATAATTTGCTATTTCCATTATGACTCATTATTACTCGGTAAGCATTTTTTTTTCAATATTTCGTACTCCATGTTGTGGTTTCAGGAACCTATAAACCCAATGTTTATATTTTGAGAGGCAACGCGGATTTCAGGAGTTAGCAGATTTCAGGTTATGGCAAAGCACACTAGGGCCAACTGCCTAAGGGAAGGGATGCCTTCGTGGAGGACTTTCTAAGGGAAACTGGCTCGGATAGATGTTACACATGGAGAAAACCACGAAAACGCCCATGCAGCCAGCCTGTTCGCTGGATTCGAACCTCGGACCGAACTACCAGTGTTCAGCGACTTTACCACTCGGCCGCTGCTGGGCCTTAAAGTCATCATTAAAATAAAAGTCAATAATAAAATTCAGTTACTTAATACAAATATATAAGCACACGATACCTTCACATTGTTATAATGCAAGTGACAGAGTAATGAAAAAAAAAGCAGAAAAGTGGAAATGGTGAAAGCAATGCAATTCAAAGTTAAATGTAACATGTCATATGAAAAATTCATAATACTTAATTTTCATGTACAGACAGTCATTAATATTCAGTTTTAATACTTAAATTTCATGTACAGACAGTCATTAATATTCAGTTTTAATACTTAATTTTAAATTAAAAGATTACTTTGTCCATATGCTGCAACATGAGGCTTATAACCATAACCTTGAGAATAATTTGTGTTAGGGGGTGATGGACTTCTTGGCCTTTTCATTGCACCCTATAAAATATATTAACAAATAAGCAAGTCATCATAATTTAGATAGATACATAGATACAGAATGAATAAAAAGTTAACTTAATCTAAGCTTGAGTGCATGTGTGTGTGACATATATGTGATATTTTGGCAGTCGTGAAACTTGTAACAGCGATATTAGGAAGCAGTCTGACTGAAAAATAGCGCATACTCAGTATTTATAGTAGTGGCTACATAATAGGCTAGCAAATTCTAGAAGGTACTGGTCTAGGGGAAAGATCCTAAATTGCAGAAAATTAATTGAAGGTTGCAAGTTCACGAAGACCAAAGCCATCATATTTTTTTATACTTCACACACACACACATATATATAAGTAAAATAATTATGTAAACTAGTTTCATAATTTAATTTAGGAACAGCCCTTAATTCCCCATCTCTATTCTAAAAATAGTAATAACTTTTCTGTACTGCATCATCTCTAGATCAATTTATATCATATGGCTTGCAAAACACTGATGATGTAGTTAATTCAGAATCTGAACTCAAAATTTTGAGAACTGAAACCTTTCTTTTAATAAGCAACCTAACCCAAAATTTTCTCTTGGTTAGCTTCCACACTGGATAACTGCGCACTTTTGCTTCAGCTCTCTTCACATTAAGAGGGTAGTTTATAGACTCTTCAAAAGACGAAAAATAAATTCCAAGCTCTGCCAGCTATTGTCCATCATTCTAAAACTATAATCTGTATAAAATTTTGGGGTTCATAGCATGCTCACAATGATAAAGGGAAATGGAAAAGAATATGTGTCTTCAGAATTAATTATCCAGGAATAAAATTATGTATGGACTTTATAGCTATGTCTGTCTTTGAGTGTTATCTTTCTAATTACGCAGTAAAGACTCTCCAAGTTATTATAACACAGAGAACCATCACCAATTCATTGAAGCTTTCTCCAAGTCATCTTTTATATACATATATAAGCAAATTATTTTAGCACTATTAATAATAATAACCATTCTCAAGCTTTGATTAAAATGAATTTCTGACTGTTACTTAATATTCATATTTTATATTAATGCAAATGGTTGGCATCTATTTTCATATACTGTTTATCAATTTGATGTTTAGAATGAAGCACGTCATAACTGTACATTTAGCATTTGATTCTGAAATCAGAATTAAGTTAAAAGTAAAAATCACCTTTTTTATGCAGTTACAATCTTTCTTTTACTACAATTTTTTTTATAATTTTTAATTTTCAGAGATTTTCTATGAGACTTTTTAATTAATATTATTTGTCAAAATTATTTTATAAGCATTTAATAGAAGTAATAATTACATGAAATTAAATTAACTGATTTCTTTCATACTTCATAGACTGAACTGATTCAAAAGACAAAAAATAAATTCCAAGCTCTGACAATGTAAAACCTGCAGTACAATGTTAACCATTGGACATCTATTTTTATTCAGTACTTATACACGAATTAAAAAAAAATTTTCAAAACAGCTTATGTAACGAATTACATTTTGTTGAGGTAGAGGTGCTGTCCCAACCTTATACATAACTGCATTTCGATTCATCACACTATTTCCAGCTGGAAGAAAAAAAGGATATGGAAATTACTCTTGAAAAGAAAATTAACTCAACTAAGAAATAAAAACATTAACATTTCAAAGACAGTACAATTTTCTTCAAATGAAACAAAATCCTTTTTGTGTAACTCCACAAACTGAATTCTAATAAAGAACTAATCCTCTAGAATAATAAAAGCATAACACTTATGATTCAAAAACAATTCACTGGTATTACTAATACTTTTAAAGGATAAAATTTAATATATTTAAAATTGCATTTTGTTAGTGTTATATACAATCAAATAATTATACCATAGTTACCCCCCCCAAACTTGACATTTTCATTATTATTGACAGATATCTATTTCATTAAACTACAGATCTAACTCTTTCCCTGTAATAATATAATTTAATATTATAATTTATTTCTGATTTTTTTTACAAAAGAATGACATATTTAAACTACTTTGATTGTCATATACACTGTTCAAGACGCTGGTGCGGGACGGAAGGGAATCGAAGGCAGTCACTGAGGTTTTGCATTGCTAAGCCTAATTTTATAAAAAAAATCAGAAAAAAAAAAGTTACGCTTCTAGCATTGTAAAATTTTGGTATCGTTTTAGATTATTACTTGAGCTTTTCTATATGTTAAAATTAGCACTTAATAACGTTTTTTTCTTTATTTTACATGAAAATATACTTAAAAAATTGCTTATCTTGAAAAATACTTTTCGGAAGCGCTATTCAAATTATTCCAAAGTTTTAATCGATAAAATCCATCAATAAAGTTTAAAATTAATAAAACAACACAATAAAGACTATTTATAGTAAGAAGTAACAAAATTTAAAATGAAGACTGAGTGTGGTAAATCTCTAAGCATGGAGAAGTATCACTTTCAAACTCTCAGAAAAAGTATCACATTCGAACTCTTAGAAAAAGTATCACTCTCTAACTCTTTAGAAAATGAATCATCACTCTCATTTGCATTAGTAAATGGTTCACTAACCCATACTTGCCAACCTATAACACTCAAAAATCAGGAGATTTTTCACAATGTTAAAAAGACTTTTTAAGTGATGAAAACATAGTTTTTAATAATTAATTAACTTTAAATAGTAACTAATTCTTAAATGCAAGCAACACAAAAATACCTTACACATAAAAAAAAATTTTATTGCTTAACAACATTTAAAAAATTTTTATCATCATTAAAAAAAAAAAAAAAAAAAAAAAAAACTTTAATCGGTTTTTGAACAAATGTTATAAACAGTGGCAGATTTTGCTTTCTTTAAGAAAGAAACTTCATAATTTTGTTCATAGCAATTGCCACGTAAGCCTGGTTCCATCAGCATCTTTCAGTTTTCCAAAAAACTCCACTGGGTGTCAATCCTAGCTGATTTTATAACTTCATCCAAGTTTTTAATTGTAAACTGCTGTTATGCAGCTGTTGGAACTGTTTCATTTTCCTTCCTTTAGAACTCCTTTGGAGATAATAATAAATATCAAACAATGTGTTCAACTACATTTATGGTAAAGAAGCTGCCCTTTTTCAGCTGTGGCACAGTGGCAGGTGTGCTCCAGTAAAAGGGCAGAGAAACAGACATTCTGCATAATAACTTTTTGGTCCTTTGTTCCGAAGAAAAATTTAATTTTTTGTTTTTTTCAAAAACAACTCATGTTGTCCTTGGGTTTGTGTACGCACATGTTGAGAAACATCCACCCTTCCACTATGCGAAATCGAAAAACCGCAACGACAGGCGGTACACATCGCAAATTTATTACATTTCCTTGAGGAAATAATGGAAGGAAAGTCAACTGTGTACGATTTTTGAAACGTACACGAGTATTTCACCTTTCTCGCAAACATAACAAAAGATGATAATTTCTAAAACTATTTCCTGAGTACTTCCGAGTATTTTCCTGAGTACTCACACAACTCAAGACAAGATGAACGAAATAACTAAAGAACATCCAAATAACTGCCTCGAGCTTGCTTTGTGCTCATTGGCTAATACATGCCAGATGACACATAGTGGAGCACGATGCCCATTGAAGAATTGGATAACGATGTTTCTGGTTACGTATATGCTCTCACTCACAAAGCAGAAGTTATCTGATTCGCTAAGGTTTTGTTTTAGACATAATCTAGAGATAATTCATTAGCTTTCAGACGTCCAAAATTACTTTTTTTTTTTTTTTTTTTTTGTTCATGTAACAAAGTATTAAGTTTCATAAAAATCGTGAGAAATTTTAAGAATAAGAAAAAGTCAGGAGAAATATATTGTAAATCAGGTTGGCAGGAGAGCGGTCAAAAATTGGGAGTCTCCCGCCTAAATCGGGAGAGTTGGCAACTCTGCTAACCATACAAGGATATTCTTCCTCTGATAAATAATGCCTTCTCGCCATAATAGACTGGAGGTGAGGCTTTCCTAAATACAAATAGAAGAAACAGAAATATATCTGAAGGCAATGCAAATGTAAAAAAAACTCCCCACAGTAACCCTAAAAGACCGTACATAGTAGAAGAAAAAAAGGAATTGGATATAAATCAGACACGTGAATGTTTTCATGAGCGAGCAGCGATTTAAAGAGCCCACCTCTGTTTACGCTTTCCCTCCCCCACACTCTCGCAACAGCTGATGAGTAAACTACCAAAGTCAAGTAGAATATATTAAGCTCAAGGTCAGGAACCTAAAACTGTGTTCATTTCCAAAGTAATGGACATAGGATGCCATTTAGTGGCCTTCAGAAAAACGTTCCAGCTAAAAATGCGTATACGTATCACCCGTCCTCTGAATGCAATCTCTAGTGATGCGTGGATGGGATGCCAGGCTGTAAGAGCCGATCTTAGGGAATGCATATATGGGCCGCCTGTCCTGAAAAGGTTAAGCTGATTCCCAACAGTGCTTTCATAATCATAGAAATAATTAAATTTATTAACACACACACACATATGACATAAAAAGTAATTCTTTATACATAACTTGTTTAATACTAAATATTACAACAGCCTCTTCAAAGAATCTTGATACATTATATCAATGCAAAAATTATATTTGCTCTCCAGCAGCAAAACACCAATTCTCTTCCTTTCATTTTTCTGCAATCATGCTATACTAGTTAGTTCTCAACTTTTTTTGCCGAAACGCACCTCTTTCACCATTTCCTGAAGATAATTATCCCCTTCTTTTGCAAAATATGCATTTATTTAGATTATATTTTATGCGTTTTTATAAAATATGAATTCCTTCCTAGTTCCGAACCCCTGTGCTATACCTAAATTTATTTAAAGCATACTTAATAAAGTAAAAATGTAGGCTATATTATCTTTTGCAGCATCTGGCATAACTGTTTAGCCTATAAACACTTTCAACCTCACCGGAGAGACCCTCTCATCATTAATTCATGCTTTAAAGATAGAAATTTAACATTAAGCAAAGAAGTTGTTATTCTGTTGACAATAACATCGCAGCTCACATCCCACAAGTTTTGACCCAATTATCTATTTAATTTATGTAATGATAAGAAGTGGAGAAAGTGCATCAATGCTATGAAATCAAAACTTCTAATCACAGGTCGACAAAGGGGGGGGGAGTGCTGATGAAGAGCTAACTCTTTTTAATGAAATAGTTCAAAAGTTAACAAAGGGGTTTGCTTTAAACACCAGCTTAATTTGGAATGCACATATGTCAGTTGCAATTGAAATCATCATAGGAGTTTCCTGAAAACTCAACTGTCTTCTAGTAAACTCATCAACACTGGACCTTGAGAGAAAAAAAAGCACATCTATACATAAATACTAAGACCAATTCTCACATATGCCTCTCTGGCATGGACCACAACATCCAACACTAAATTCAATAACCTCTAAACCTTTCAAAATAATTTTTTATGAAAAATCACCAGAGCCTTGCAATAAACAACTACACCACAATCTCAACTTGATAACACACAATTATTTATCAACAAGCTCAACTAACATTTCTACTCCAAAGCCATAAATAATGACAAGGTTATTATGCTCACAACTTCAAATATGAACTCACTGATATAGAAATTAATCTAAGACCATATATCAAGTATCAACTTAGGGTGTTCTGGGCAGGTATGCAGCAAACGTCCTGCATCCAGGTGGCAAGATTTAGAGGCACTAAATTCACTCGGTAGCCTCCAAAGTGGAAGTTACTTATGCAAGGACAAATTCATTATTCAATGAATTTTTCTCTACCAAAGACCAAATCTGGAACTTTAGCCTTTAGAGCTTATAAAGGCAAAAAGCTCTTTTTTAAAAGGAGGTAAAGTTTGGAAAGGTTTCACTCGAAAAAAATGGGAAATAGGAATGGATTTCCATCTGCCTTTCAGCTGGGATTGCAAAAATAACTAACTACTGATCTTCTGAAGCCTTTCCCTTTAGGAGGTTGCCTTTGTTAATGTTCAGATAAGAGACTAGAGAGTACATAAGAATTTTTCTGAGCTAACATTTCAATACATTTTACTGGTGAGAACATGAAAAGGAATTTATGAAGCTCCTTAGTTGTGAGTAGTACTTTGTAGATGTTAATGTCATTAGACAACTGGCAAGAAAGGCTAATGGACAATGAGTCCAGCAAACTCTCCCCGAAGGCTGCGGAGTGGGGTATCGATATTTTGGTAAAAGTCATCAATTTGAGATACTGCAAATATGACCTCTTTGGTTGCTGTAGTGAACTAACTGAATAATCTTGAACTCACAAGAAACCATTCCTGTTTTTAAAATTGGTATTGTGAAATGGTATTTAAAGTATTACAAATAAATATGTATTATAAATTAATATTTACGAAAACATGTTATATAATTTTCAAACTAAATTATATTAAAACAAATGAACAAAATAACTGCTTAATGTCTGAAATGTGTGTAGTCATGCTTACAGTGCTGATGCCCCACCACAATTGGATAGTTTTTAAAATATGTTTTTTGCATTAATAGTTCCCCCCCTTGCTTTAAAATAGTGATGGCACTAGAAAAAAGTTATTCAAAGCCCAATGCATAAAAAATGCTGACTGGGAAAGGAAAAACTAAGTGAATTTTTAAAACTTAAGTGTTCTACTCTGAATCCATCTTTATCAAATGTCGAGCTTATCAAAAGCCACTAGTTATTGATGATCAGCAGCCATCCACATCCGGTGTACTTATTACACTTAATTAATCCCTTTAATTATATAAGTGAGTACAAAAAACCAGTATGCAAGTGGTCAATCCCCCTTGAACAGTCCTGAATTTAGGAACCTTGCATTAAGTAATTAACCTTAATTCTATTAATTTATTTGGCGTCCAAAGATTGTTACTCTGCATGTAACACTATTATTAAAAATTCACTTAAATGCACACAGGTGCTGAATCCCCTAGGAATGGTCCTGAATTTAGGAACCTTGCATTAAGTAATTAACCTCACTTCTATGCATTTATTTGTCCTGCAGAGACTGTCATGCAACACTTACATTATTATTCAACCCTTGCTCGCAAGGACAGTGTGGCTGAATAAATAAGACATCAGACATTAGTAAAATGAGGCAGCATTTTTTGGAGTCAGAACTTGGGAGGGTGGCAACCTTAATGGCTTTCACTTTTGGCTCATAATAAACATGGCCCAACTAAATTTCAAAACTACCACTACACCCCCCACAGTATAATGTTATTTTTGTTTTGCACCTTCTCCTCATTTTAAAATTATTTTCCCCTCTATCTTCTAAGTGTTCCAATACATAAGGAATTGTGTGCATTTCTCATCTATTTAATAATAACAGATTTTTCCATCATGTGCAGCCACATCAGCATTCCATAATGTGCACTTTTAAGGCCAAGGTTGGGCCTTATTTTCTTTCTTCAATCCTTGCAGTTGACCAAAGCCTTATGGTGTCTTCCATATGCAGTATGTATGGTAGCCCCTAACTGGCATTACTTGAGGTGCCAGAAGGAGCAAGATAAAATTCTTGCTAAAACTAACATAAAAGAAGAAAGCATATAAACTCTACACATTCTCAATAAGCATCATAATTATATATTAATATAAAATACAGAGGAATGTCATTTATTCTTCTAGAAAGTATTTATAATGCAGCCAAATATTAATTTATCATTTTACACTAAATGTTTTACCATCTCATTCAATTTAAACATTGCTAATATCTTGCAGTTTTACCAATTGCAAAATCCTACCAATCATATAAAGATTAGGAGCTCCAACAGGCACATTTTGATTTGCATAATGATGGCTCATCTGAATCAAATCACTGAAATATAAATATGAATTAAAATTAAAAACTACAAAACAATTCCAGTCTTATGTTAAAAATTTAAGGCATAATTAAAAGATTCATGAATTTGTAAATTGATCTAGAAAATACTTACACAATATTTAATCATTCAAAAGCTGTTAAAACCTTTGTTTTAGCCTGTCAAAAAAAATCTAATTCTTTATTTACAATAGTTAATGAAAATATGCAGTAATCCAATAATGATGGATGGACTTCAATCTACTTATTTCAAATGATATATTGCTTATGGATGTATGGGTGATGCATTTTCTACATTATGATCAAGGAACAAAGGGCGGACAGATGCTTTTCCTTGAAAACTTTGCAATGTCTATTTTAATTACCAGTTATTTTAATGCTAAATCTTCTTTGCACCTTTTATTTCTTCCATTCAGCTATTCTCAGAATACACATTATGTTGAATTTAGAAAGCGAATAAAATGATAGTTTCAAACAGAGTGCTGTGATAACAAGTCATTAAAGCTGCTTAACAAGAATTACCATCAGGCCAACCTGTATAGCTCTTGAGCAAACTTTGATTCATTAATGTACAGAATTCAAATAACTATTAGTTAGAGCCAAGTTATTCATAGTTGAAAGTTATCTTGTTATATTTATTTAGATATCTGAGTTATAATAGAAACCCAACATGTAGCAATAGCTGATATTTGTTAATTTTAAATTCAGTTTAAAACTATGTCTTGTAATATACTATAAGACAGCAGTTATTAACCTTTTTTACTAAAGCATATTATTTAAACAAAAACTGATAAACTTTAGTACCACCACTACATTTTACAATGATTATTTTTCAATTTCTAAATAGAAATATTAAATATATATATTTAATATTTCTATAATACATACATATATAGACTGCCATTTGCATAATCTGTGTATTATATATGCATACATAAAAATATATTTTATTAAAATTGGTTACCATTTGAATAATCAAACTTTAAGTTATTATTCTAAAATTTAGTGCAAAATTTGGGCCTGTTTAAGACAGATCAGTTTCTTTATGTAGTCTTATTTCACTTAGTTTTAACCATAAATTATCAACCACTTTTATTTATTTATTTATTTATTTTTTTCCAAATATAAAATGGGGGGAAAAATCCTTCTTCACACAAAAGGCCAAATTAATAAATAAATAATTTTATTTAAAATACCTTTAAATTTGTTTGCTTGTTTGTTTGTTCAGCCAAAAGTTAACAAGTGTATTATTTTTGAAATCTTCAATTAAGAGTTCGATCACAGAAAATTTCTATCAATTGTTCTTTTTCTCTATGAGATACAATTTTAGGTACATTTCAACAAAATAGATTTCTAAACCAATATCCTTCTTCATAATCTTCAAGAAGATATGGGTTGAAATTGTTTATCAATTAAATAAAAAATTACTTTTAATGTTGTATGCTAATTCTTCTTTTATTTTCAAATCATTTTTTGGTTAGAAAGCTTTCTAAAAGCGGTAAAAAACTTAAAATATTATTATCAAATTCTTTGGTTATTAGCTCGAGATTTTATATCATCGCATTTATTTTATCTCAAATGGTAAAAAAATTGACACTTTTCCCTTATAATCCTAAATTTAATTCACTTGACTTTCCCAAAATATCAGCTTTCTGAAAATATACTAAACATGCCAACCAAAATTTACTAAATAAACATTTTTGCAATTCAAATTTTGAATCACAGAAGAAAATTTTAATTTCTGATAGAAGTTCAAAAACACAATTTAAAAATTTGCCTCTGGATAACCATCTTACTTCGTAACATAACAAAAGTGTTTCATGTTCACTGCCCACCTCTTGGCATAAAATCATATATATTCTAGAATTTAAAGCTCAGCTTTTAATAAAATTAACAAAATTTCACAGCTTGATTCAAAACGATTTTAATGTTTTTGTGGAGTGTTTTGGCCACTAAACCCTCAAGATGAATGGAGTAGTGAGTAAATTTAGTTTCAGTGCAACTTTCTTTCTTCGAGAAATAAGACCAGAATGTTTTCCAGTTAAAATCCGAACTCCATCACTGCATACGGCCAAGGAATATGATCCTCAGACATAAAATTGTCAATTACTTTGAAAATTTCATTTGCCGTTGCTCTATCATAGATTTTTAGTACTAATAATTGAACAAAGTTTGTTATATAAGTACTTTTATCTAATTGCAATGCGAAATACTCACTATGTTTTATTTTATGAATAATTGTCTTTCTTCAATAGTATAAGCATGCCGAGTCTTGGGAATTCTTAGGCTTACTAGATAACTAGCTTCCAAAGCTTTTTCCCTCTCAGGGGCTCACGCTTGTGAGTACGGGTGTGGTAATCCCGAGGTACCCTAGCCCTTCAGGGGATCATCGTCTTGGTGAGACGGGTGTCACGATCCTGGAGCCCCAGTGATCTATCCTCTTTTCCGTCTCCTCTCCTCTTGGCTGAAACTTTTTTTCCTTCCCTTCTCCTCTGTGGTTTTTCTCTTCGGAGTTTGGGGCTCGTCACGAGAGACTAGAACAGCCCTTGTCTCTAGTTTTCGATTGGCGAGAAAACTGCCCACGTGTTTGCCATGCGTGGAGACCCGTGTCGCTGGAAAGGAGGGTCCTGGTAGTTGAGGGGCGAGATACTGTCCCCAACACACTACTTTGGCCTCTGCTTCAGCTAAACAGAGGCACTTTAGTCGTCCTCACGGGTGTCAATCGGCTGGTCACTAGTCCTTGTGTCAGTGGCTTGGGGATAAGCTCTCGGGAGTACCTGCTTTCGGGAAAGCCGACTGTGGGGTTTTAGTTTGCATATAGGTCCGGCTAGCCCTAACACAGGAATCTGTGTTCCCTTGTTGGGCTCCGTGGTGGGCGGGGCCGTCGGACCCGAATCTTTTCTTACTTCACTATGGCCAATTCACACATTTATTTAATTAAAGATTTTGAAGTCACTCAACCTAGTTCTGAAAAGTCTACTGCTAAAAAATTACGTACAGATGCAAATGCAAATAATCCTAATAGTAGTCCCCGTTTCCTAGTTATCTCTAGTCCTTCTGGCGAGCTGCAAAAGATGTCACCTTTTGCAATAAATAAGTACATTCATTCCTGTATTGGTGAGCCAAGAAATATAAAGCATCTCCGATCTGAAGACTTGCTTATTGATACAACCTCAGCCACCCAGTCTGCTTCTTTACTTCAAATAACTAAACTTGGGCAAGCGAATGTCACTGTAACAGCACATAAGTCAGTGAATTATTGTCGTGGTGTAATCTCAGAATTCGACCTTCTGTATTCTTCTTCTGAAGAGATCGCTTCTGAGCTGTCTGACCAAAATGTCTGCGGTGTTAGGCGGATCAAGATGTGTAAAGAAGGTACGTTGATAGACATGAAACACGTGATCCTTACCTTCAACACGCCTGATCTGCCTAAGAATATTAAGGCCGGATATCTAAATCTTCCTGTAAGACCTTATATTCCAAACTCTATGCGATGTTTCCAATGCCAGCGTTTTGGCCATTCTAAGACGTCTTGTCATGGCAGCCTCACATGCGCCCGATGCTCACAGATTGGCCACGATTCTGATAAATTGTACCGCTGCCTTTGTGTATAAATTGCAAGGGTGAGCACCCAGCATTTTCTCGCTTGTGCCCAAAATGGAAATCGGAAAAAGAAATCCAGACTGCAAAAGTTACTAGGAACATCTCTTATGCCGAAGGCAGAAGATTAGTCCAGAGCACACAGCTTCGACCAAATAAATCATAAGCCAGTGCTGTTAAATCATCTTGTACAGTTGCCACCCAAACATCAATAGGCACGCAGACTCTACAAAATAAAACCCAACCCACTACATCCAACAAGAAAAAGGAAAATTCAACTCATTTAATACAAAAAATAAGAAACAGTGATTCAAAGTAAACCTAAAACTGTAAGTCACAAAATAATTAATAAAAATAGAAGTCCTAGCAATAGCTCTCTTGATGAGATGATTTCCGAATCTGCAGATTCAGACAGTATGGAAATAGAAGAGGGTCTAGAAGTTCCCAAGCATTTACTTCCACAAAAAACTAAACAGCACAGCAAGAACAAAACCCAATCATAATGGACATCCTCGTCTCATGGAACTGTCGCGGTTTCCACCGAAATTTGCTTGACATCAAAGCTATAGTAAATGCCTATTGTTGTCTCTTTTCATGAGTCATAATTTCAAAGATCGTTTCGTTTCAGGAGTCAAGGTTGGGAGAGCATTAGAATTTCAAATCAAAACTTCAAGATTTCACAGAACATAGAAATAACATTTATTAACGATAAACTTATATTACTTATATTACTTCCGCCTATAGCGGCCATGAAACATAATCAAGCATAAAAAAATATGACATGCGTCATTCTTCATGTTCAAGCATCAGGTGAAATATTTTTCATTGGCGCGCATCAAGAGCGCCACCTATCTACCAAAAAGACGGAACATACTCCGCCCCGATGAACATTGGTTCATTACAACATTGTTATAAAGATCTTCAATTTTAGATTTAAACAAGTTTCCCAAACATTCAATAGTATATCATATAAAATAAAAATGCATAATGACAAATTTAAATTGAATAACAACATTAAATTTAGCACAAAATTTTACAAATAAAACATACTTACAATCTCTAGAAGAAAACCATAATGAAACTGCTAAATTACCATAATCCACAATTGTGGTCCATTCTCTGAATCTGAAACATAATTGAATTAATAATAATAATAAAGACACAAATTACGAATATACAATTACTTTTTTTTTTTTTAGAGTCTTATCACTCAATGGTAAGCGGGAAAGTTTATGTATAGGACGTTCATTTGCCCAATAAGTTTTTAGTTTCACACACGAACTTTTCCATCAGCACCAGATATAGTTTCAATTACTCGTCCAAGTCGCCACTTTAATGGAGGCAAATTTTCATTCTTTATCAAGACTAAGTCATTGAGAGCTAAATTTGGTTTATCCCTGACCATTTGGTACGCCCTTGTAATTGTGAAAGATAATCTCTAGACCAACATTTCCAAAAGCTCTAGAAAATTTGCTGTGTCAATTTCCATCTTTCAGCAGGTGTTAGCTTATTATTTGTAAGATCAGGTTCAGGAATTGCTGTTAATGTAGTCCCAGTTAGGAAATGCCCAGGTATTAAAGGATTAAAATCTTCAGGGTCAGATGAGATGGAAACTACTGTCCTAGAATTCAAACACGCCTCAATTTGCGTAATTAAGGTGTGAAATTCTTCGTATGTTAGAACCTGTGTCCCAATAGTCTGCTTTAAGTGAATCTTCATTTGTTTCACACCAGCCTCCCAGAGGCCTCCAAAGTGAGGTTCAGCAGCAGGGTTGAAGGTCCATTGAATATTTTCACCGCCCAAGTAGTTTTGAAATGCGTTCTCAGAAGAAAGTGTAGCTATGTATCTTCTTAATTCTCTATCAGCCCCAACAAAGTGGTTCCTCTATTGGAAAAGATTTTCTTGGGTTTTCCTCGCGTGACACAATCTTTTCAGAGATGCTAGGAATGCTTCAGTTGTTAGATCACTGACTACTTCTAGGTGAATGGCCTTTGTGGTGAAGCATATGTAAGGCAAACGTAACATTTATATCTCGTTCCTCTCTTCCTTTCCTAGCTTTAATTAAAAGAGGCCCGGCGAAATCCAGTCCTGTATTCGAGAATGTTCTATCCGGCAATACGCGAGAAGCAAGCAGGTAGGTCGCCCATTATCTGACTGGATGTGCTTGTTCGATTTTTAAAACATTTTTACATTTCCAAATTATTTTTCTTACAATTTCTCGGCCATTAACAATCCAATATTTCTGTCGCCGAGCAGATAAGTTAATGTGGCTCCTCTTGAAGTTCACTCGTGAAAGTGTTTGACGATCAATTCAGTAACTTTGGTGACTTTGGGAAGAAGATTGGAT